TTTATTTTAGGTCTATATATTTTTTCTTCAAGGCAAAATTTTATACAGTCATTTCCTTTTCATACCGATAGCAACAGGAATAATTGTTTTTACAAAAGAAAAAAAAAAACACAAACTCACAAACTATGACAACTAGACCAAATTCACATTGATCTAAATGCTGAGAATGCATTCGTTAATAGATGTTGACTCAAATACCACATGGAGGTAAAACAACATCAATTTATATGGCGACGACAACCATTTTTCCTGGCTATGCATTTCTTGATCATAACAATAGATATATGGAGCCAAATTAAAGTGAACTAAAGAAATATAAAATAATATATTTATTCATTAATGGTCGTCTAGTTGCAATAGTTTCATATGATTTTGCATATCTATAATTTTAATCATATATTGTTCAGTAGAGCTGCTTGGCCTTTGCCATCACTGCGACTACATCTAGTACTTTTCGAGGATTCCGAAGATGGGCTTGCTTACGGCGATCACGTTCACATCTTGTAATTTTCTCACATCCTCGCTTGTACGGCTTCTCCGGTTGTTGTGGACATGAAGGATCTTTAGGACTACATCCACGTGCACCATCACGTCCTATTGCTGGATATCCAATTACTTTTTGAGCTTCCACCTTCATGATATTCATAAACACAAATGATAACAAGAGTATTGTCACGAGCATATGTCTTGCTTCCATTATGATCAGATTTATGTTTTTGATTTTACTAAATATATGTATTTGCATGTAGAAAACAAAAGTGATATATATATAGTGAATCTATTTTACTAAGAATTGTCTATACATATTACTGTTTAAGTAAATGTGACTTTTTTGTTAATCAATATGAAGTGAATTTACTTTTTCAATCAACTATTTAGAATGTTTTTTGTTAAGATAACATATCTTGTGTTATTCTTCATTCCTGATTTATTTTCAAAAAATTATAAAATCTAGTGTTATTGAACTATAGATCTATACAAATCAGGTTTTCTTGTTGGGTGATTTACTATAGTAATCCGCTATATTTTTAAAATAGCCATATCTAGATGTATTTATGTCATAAAACTATTGGGTGGTCTATTAAATTGATGTATTGTATAGTATTCATATATTTATCTTCAAAGGGTTCAAATTCCTTGGTATTTAAATTTTATAGTGGCTATATTTAAGAAGGAATGTGTAAGACTAATTCTTAGAATATCTATGAAATGAATCTAATTTGTCATAAACTTACTGGTCGGCCTATTGTAAAAAAAATCACAAGTCTTATTCACCAAAAGAAAACAATTCAACGATTACTATTTTAATGCAAAGCATATAAAGATTCTCCAGAAGATGCTCTGTGTAGACAAAAGTCAGAGACTTTAAAAGAGGCCAGAAACATATCATCTGCTTCATTCTTCTTCTGCAACTAGTTTCTCTTCTAAGAATCCAAGTACAAGACAAAAGACAAGAGTCCGAGGAGACATGGAGAATCTGGTGGGACTTCTTAGAATCAGAGTGAAAAGAGGGATTAATCTTGTTAGTCGTGATTCTAATACCAGCGACCCTTTCGTCGTCGTAACCATGGGTTCTCAGGTATCTCTCTTATGTTCTCTGTTCTCTGTGTTATAAAGATCGTGTTTTGATCATCTGAGGTAAGATAGATTAGCCCATTATACTCCGTAGATTCCAATTTTGAAAAAGAGGAAACTTTAGAAGATTTGGAAATTACTCTGTTTTTGATGGAACTTATAATGGAGTTTTAAGAGACTTGTGATGATATCAATCGATTTGTCTCAGAAATTGAAGACACGTGGTGTGGAAAATAGCTGCAACCCTGAGTGGGACGATGAATTGACGCTTGGAATCAATGATCCTAATCAACATGTGACTCTCGTGAGTTAGTTCTTGATCTTCTTGAAATGATTCTTGATCTTAAAGGAGTCTTTTGGTTTTGGTGAAGAGATTATGTTTCTGATTTTTTGTTTGTTATGTTTCCTTGTAGGAAGTGTATGATAAAGATACGTTCACTTCCCATGACCCGATGGGAGATGCGGAAATAGACATCAAGCCGTTTTTCGAGGTTCAAGGAACGGATATTCAAGAACTCACTAATGGAACCGAGATCCGTAGAGTGAAGCCGAGTGGAGATAACTGTTTGGCTGAAGAGAGTAGGATCATCTTCAGTAATGGAAAGATTGTTCAAGACATGATTCTCCAGCTGAGAAATGTAGAGAGTGGTGAGGTTGAGATCCAAATCGAGTGGATCAATGTTACTGGTTCAAGCGATTTTTGAAGGAGAAATGTATATAGAAGTTTTTTATATTTGTTTCTTCTGATTTGTAATAAGGCAGCGACGATGTCATATACTCATATCTAACTCAAAATGTTACAACTTCCATATGCACACACAAATAGGGATTCGTTGAACTCATTGGATATTGATTGATTTTTCAGGAAGGGTGTTACACACCTTCTCATACTCAATGTGCCACTTCATAGTACATTTCCAAGCCCTTCTTGCTTTTGCTTTACATGTATAGTGATCAAGAAGCTCTTTAGATCTTTCATTACATCTCCTTCGATTATCATAGATTCGTACCAACAACAAAAAAGTTGAGTTAACTCACTCGATATCGACTGTACACAAGATTGCTACCTTACTTAGCTTATAAAGAAAACAATCTCCCTTTTGTTTTTTTCATCATATAGTATCCATTGGCTCTCTATGGTACCTCAAGGGATTAAAAAATATGATGTTTCTAAATAGCTCAAGCCCTCAAAACGTATACAAGAGTTACGGTGCCCTAAGGTCGCGCATGTATACAGCCTCTATATCTCTTATACACGCGAAACCAACGAAAGGCATGGCTACGATGAGTAAAACCACTAAATTCGATTGTATGCGAGATTAGACGTACGAGAGTGATCGATTATAACAGTGGATAACAAAACATATAGAATTGGTTAAAAGTTAAACAAATAAAAACAAATTTAGGTCAATTGGTGAAATAATAAAAAAGTGATACAAAATTGGTTAAGTAAGATGATTCTAATAATAATATATCATTAATTACAAGAAAATAAAGGTAATTTTGACGGAATTTCCCATGAAATTTTAAGACTTGACCATCACATGAATTGTTTGGGCTTAGCAACTTTAACTATTGTACTTATAAGAAGTATACAACTTTATTTGGGAAGTCTGTCAGTTGAGCCTTGGCCCAATTGGTTTATCTGGTAGTCAGAAATGCAGGCGACCTTATTACCTCCTGCCATTAGTCGGAAAGCATTCCAATCTCGGGACATACAGTGTGGTGGTCCTTCGGGAGAAGTTGACTCTGAAGTACTTCAGTGCGTTTCTACCGAGGCTTGCCGGATCAGCCGATAGGGTTTATCATAAAATAAAATAAAAAAAGTAGACGAACGCTTTTACTTTTCTTAAAACATAACATGCATAGGCGAAACATATAGCAGCAACACAATTGTTATAATTTGCAACTAATTAAAAACTTCAAACATACGTAACACAAACTCTGCAATACTTGCAGTTCAGATCTCTTCATAGAGAGAGCACATTATTGAAAATTTGAGATATCTTACAAAACACCCACAAACATAGATAGATAGATAGATGGATATCCAAGGAATCCTCTAGACTTCGGACAAAAGCATTTCGTCCATTGATTGGGTTAGCTTGGCAAACAACTCGAGCAGCTTCTCCGGAGGAGCCCCATTCTCGTCAATCCTCTCATATTTTAAGTGACACTTAACCACACTTCCCGGTCCTCTTAGCTTTGGGGTTGCCTGGATAGTGACCAAGAAGCTCTTGAACTCTTTCGTCAGATCTCCATCTATTACCCTGAGCACTAACAGATTCTTCTCCTGATCCACTGCCTCGATCCTCTCCCTCGCCACCTTGGGCTGCCCATCTGCACCCAAAACGAAGGGTTAACCTATCAAATCTTGTATGTTGTTGCAAAATTATATTATAAATAAACGTTTGTGTTTACCAATAGCATAGTTCCAGAATATGACACTGCCAACTTTGCCAAACTCTCCCTCATGCAAAGCACATCCCTAGATGTCAGGAGTGGCTTTCGCAACATCTTGTGGTCTTCCAGAGAGCATGTGATGGAACTTCTTTGCCGATGCTTTGATCTCAATATCTACCTCAAGTTCCCCTTGTAGAGAAGACTGACGCGTAGCTTGTGCCATTTTTCTTATACGGATGTTTTGCTTCTCTAGGTTTTAATGAGAGTGAGTGAGAGTCTCTTTGGAAATTCATAGCCACTTTTATAGAGGAAAGAATAAGCAATCTGTGGCAAGAGTCATTATTCTAAAACAACAGAGTTTCGGAATGTTGGAATATATATGGTCCCTTACGGAAGGGAAGGAATCAGACCAACTAGCTGATAACAACTACAATTTCTTTTAGTCAGTTGTGGCCTTATGGGAATCGATTCAGTGATGTGTCCACAAAAAAAAAATATGTTTCAAGATTGTTATAGGCTGCTATTATCGACCACATATACCAACGACAAAAGTAAGCCCGTTCAGAAGACCAATATCGTTATTCGAAAGCATGTACGTTGTCTTGAAGCCCTGCTTGTAGAATCTGCAAATTAAATAACTTCTCGTATAGTACTATTCACATATCACAACACAACTTCCATTAATCGATTTTTGGGAGCGTCATGTGTATTTTTATCTAATAACTCTAACAAATCATTGTAAGGAAGGATGAGTAATTCCTCTAAGCTTTTTACGTAGAAACTTTTGCATGTAAATACTTATATGTAAAATTTATAGCGAAAATGAAAACATTTGAGAAATGTATATTAGTAAAAGAGAATCACTTTTTTCATGTCAATTTTCTCTTTTAGGAAATTCGGTGCATGGAATTCATGCTTAGTTAGCTTTAGGAATATAAATTCCTCATCATTGATTAATCAATAAAATAGATAGTATAATACCATACTTAGGGGTGTCAAAATGGTTAACCCAACTCAACTCAACTCATTACCCAATGAGTTTAGAGTTAAATGAGTTCATGAGTTGACTCAACTCATTTTACTAAATGAGTTGAGTCAACCCATCAACTCATTTAATTTGATGGGTTAGAAGGTTAAATGGGTTGACTCATTAACCTATTAATGTAATAAATAAATTAATAATTAAAATATAATAATAATAATAATCAACGTCACTATTATTTGGCGAGAAAATCACGGATTTATGTTTTTGGCGGGAAAATTACGGATTTACGTTTTTGGCGGGAAAATTTTACATTCTCATTTTTGGCTAAAAATTATAAAAAATTTTGGCGGGAAAATTACGGATTTACGTTTTTGGCGGGAAAATTTTACATTCTCATTTTTGGCGGGAAAATCACGGATTTACGTTTGTGGCGGGAAAATCACGGATTTACGTTTTTGGCGGGAAAATTACATATTTTCGTTTTTGGTTAAAAATTATAAAAAAAATTTGGCGGGAAAATTGTGGATTTACGTTTTTGGCGGGAAAATCACGAATTTATATTTTGATGGAAAAATTGTGTATTTACATTTTTGGCGGGAAAATTAAAGACTATATTCAATCGGTTTAGAAGTTTTGGTTAGACTCAAATTGAAATCGGTTTAGAGATTTGAATTGGTTTGATTCAATTTAACAAAAATTGATGGGTTAAATGGGTAAACCATTGAAACCACTAACCTATTATAACCCAACTCATTTGATCCATCAACTCATTTGACTCAATAACTCATTTGATCCATCAACTCATTTGAGTCAAAATTTTCAACTCATTAGGGTTCATGGGTTGAGTTGAGTTTTGGTTGACCCATGAATCTTGACCCATTTTGACACCCCTAACCATACTATTAGAAAATAAATTTATCCAATAAATAGAGTCATTTAAAAAAAAAGACGATTGTGTAAACATTTAAAAATTTAATGGTTGGCCATTTGTAAAAGTAAGTGCACACAACAATTGAAATAGGTACTTTGTGTCAAGGATATGATATCCTTGACACTTCAGATCTATTCTGTGAGTAAAATTAATACTGTATTTTCATATTAGTTAATATGCGATTTGTTTCATGTCATCATTTATGAAAATTTATAAAAATATTATTTTCATAGCAAGATCTGATTTATTTGACAAGGAACTCGGAGACATTGATGATATATTCATGATTCAGACAACAATCTAGTCTCGAGGTCGCGTGTGTAATCTTCAACGAACGCAGTGTATCTGGTAGGGGGAGGAACGTCGTCATTTAACTTCTCGTATTCCCATGTCCACTTTGCAATACAAACTTTATGATCCTTAGGAACAACGTCAAGTGTTATCTTATAGCTCTTATATTGCTTTAACACATCTCCTTCAAGAGCTAAGAAAGACACCGACTTGTTCTCTTCATCTACGTCTATCTTCTCTTTGATCTGCTCCATTTTTCCATCTATAATAAACCCAAAGTAACCGATGGAATTCAAGAATTAGAAAAAAAAAAAAAAAAAAGAGAGAAAAAAACCCTATTTTTCAAGACTCCTTAAAAAACATAGACAGCTAGTTATAGTACATACCAACGATGAAATTCCAGATCTGAATAGAGGAGTTGGATGTGGGATCGTCACGATGAACATAAACTGCCTCTGTCTTGTCCGTGAAATTTCCTTCTTTCTTCTTGAAAGTCTTGAAGAATCTCTCGGCGGTCATATTCACTTGGATCTCTAATTCGAGAGTCTGGACACCAGCCATGGCTCTAAGATAATCCAGTCTCTCACGCTGACTTTTCTGTTGTTTATCTTTACCATAACAAAAAGCATAGAGTAGAAAACCAAGAGAAGAAAACAAAAATAGAGGTAGGCAAGGTAGGTGCCTTATGCGTAGCAGTTTCTTGATAAGCATAACACGTGTTGTTAATTCATATTTTAAGTATTGTCTAAGTGTATTATACAATATGTATTTTCATTTTTGTGTTTGGTAAGAACAGTATTTATTTTCATTTAACAAGTAACAGGAAGCGTAATTTTGTTGTTGGTAAACTAAGGAAGCGAAAATTATTTTATTAACTAAGAACAATATTTAAATGTTTTCTTTTCACCATAACCAAAGAGGACACATTTCATAAGAAAGAATATGCGACACACACTACACGTTGGTCTTAGCCCATATTTGGCCCAGACCTATAAAGTATAAACCATGCATGACGCTGACTCTGAGATACGTTCTTGGTTCGGATCAAAATCAAACCGGTATATAAACCGGATAAAACCGGGACTGGTAACTGAGTAAGAATATTGATAAAGAGAATATGCCGTGGAACAGAGAGAGTTAAGGAAAAAGATTCGTGAGTCATTCGCATCTCTCTGACTCTGATTCTCTCTGCTTAGTTCTCCTCGTTCCTTCTCTCTCTCTCTTTATAGCATTTCTTCTCCAACAATTCTTTTCGAGTTTTTACGGCCATTGCTTCAGGTTCTATCTTTCTCTATAGTTTGATCTTTCTCTATAGGTTTGCATGTTTTCTATGCAATCATTTTCTGTAATATAGCTATGTGTGTTTGCTTCTTCTTAGCTTTTCCGTTGAATTTTATCGAAACGCTATATGCTTTGTGGCCCTTATTCACATAAAATTCATACGAAATGGAAAAGAGAAAAAGCAGATACAATTCTGGTCATTGATAATTCAGCATATCATGCAGCAATCACATTTTAGGTGTTGACTTGTAACCAATATTTCTCTCTGGAAAACACATGTATGACCAATTATTATGGTTTAATTTATGAATACATTTTTATTTTTGTCATCAGAACAGAACAAGGGAGACAACAAAGTAGTTTGATTATTCTGGTGGCGTATAGATAAATGTTGGTTGTCTGTGGTTTAGGAAGATTACCATGAGTCTGCAAAATGTATCAAAGTCGAGCAATGCCCTTGAGGGTATCCACGGGGTTCATGTCACGTCTCATTCTCCTTTCTCATTTGAGAAGACAACTCAAGTTAGTGACTTTCAGACCAACACCAAATCCTCTGTCATGGAATCAAATCAAAGACTTTCCATCGAGTATGTTACATAACATTAGGTTGTGACATTCTCAGCTTTTGAAACGGTTTCAGTTACTGATTTAGTTTCTCTGTTACAGACGTTTTTGGCAGCAAAGACCTCCATGCTTAAGGCCAATCTGTTGCAGCATTCGCGGTACGCTTCTTGTTTTCGATCTTTTATCTTTCCAATCTCAAGATGGTTGATCGGTCTTTTTATTATGCAATCGAAACATATGACAGGTGACCAGAGTGTCTTAGAAACAGCTGCTAATGTGGCTACTTCACTTCCTTTCATCTTCCTCGGAATGCAGGCACCAAGGTAAAATGTTCTCTTTGCAAATATCATTTCAAGTAGAGTTTCTCTGACAAGATACTATCCCATGTAGGAAGAATCTGAACACAAAGGTGTACGCAAACTCCCTAATTGGAGTTGGAATTGCGTCGAGTCTGTATCATGCCTCTAGGGGAAAGTTGAGGAAGTACCTGAGATGGGTAGATTACACAATGATAGCCACAACAACAATAGTAAGTTCCACTCTTCTTAACCCATCTCCAAATTCTTCTTTAACCAAATATAACCGATTAAATCTGGTTATGTGGACAGTGTCTCTCAAGGGCTCTAAGGAATGAGAACCCAAAATTTCTGATGGCTGCATCAGCTTTAGTTCTACCTTTTCAACCTCTCATGGTCTCTGCCGTTCACACTGGAATGATGGAGGTCGCATTTGCTAAAAGAAGCTTAAAGGATCCAGATCTCAAAACAGCTCATAACGTACACAAGATGTCTTCCTTGCTAGGAGGTGCTCTGTTCATAGCTGATGATTTCTTCCCCGAGACACCTTTCCTTCACGCAGGCTGGCACCTCGCTGCAGCCATTGGAGTTGGAACATGCAATAAACTTCTTGAGTAGATCATTTCCAAAATTGCTATTCTTAGAACAGTGAAACAAATGGTTTCTCTGTTTCTCCTAATCAGTCGACATTACTAAGAAGCATTTCTAGACTTATAGTCAGTAATCTCTATGTAAGAAGTAGATCATCATCATTCCCAAACAAAAGAGATTATTGAATTATAAGAACTTGTTGCCAACAGTGAAGAACAATCATAACAATCGATCCAAATGTCAGACAATTGCAGACAACAAAACAAAGAGGAATCATAAATTCTATCTCTTTAACACATCACTCGTGAAGTGTAGCCATGATATCTTCATCCCTATACAATAGGAACCTGCAAAGAGAACGAAACACACAGTGAGAAATCGAAAATACTGATAAATTTCACTCTTAGAGGAATTACATCGAACAGGTTAAGAACATACTCTTTCTCTCCAAGCTTAACTTGAGTACCACCAAATTCAGGCAAAAGAACATTGTCTCCTTCCTTAACCGAAACCGGAATTAGATTCCCTGCTCTGTCTCTAGCTCCAGGACCAACTGCTATAACTCTCCCGGAATTCAACTGTGTTTAATCAAATCCAACAAATTTCTAGTTCGTCCAATCGAAGAAATGGGTAAAGATGAGAATTTTAAAGAAATTCGTTTACCTGAGATGATTTCTCCGGTAGGAGAATGCCGGAGACGGTCTTTGACGGTGGGAGAATCTTCTCCACCAATACACGGTTGAGAGTCGGGATCAAACGCTTCGCCATTTTTATCTGATTCGACGACGACGACGGAGATCGGATTACGAAAATGTTGCTCTGCTTAATTTCGCTAAGATTTAGGGTCTAGGGTTTAAGCACAACAGGTGTTCCGGGTTTTTAGGTTATTAAGGTTACTTGGACTTTACGTGGCCCAGGCCCATTCAGTATTTCTAAAATTATTGAGTCAATCCCTTTTTATTTGACTCGTTTCATGTTAATAAAAAGTAGGGTATATGCATTAATTAATTCAACATTTTTCATTAATTAGGTCAATGGTATTGACATGCATTAAAGTTTTACTCGTGATGTAGACAAATAACATTTCTCGTTCAGTAATTTATGTACAATGTGTTTGTGAAACCGTTCGATAAAACGTTATTTTACTAAACATCACGTCATATCATAAAACCACTTCATTTTTTTTATAATCTTCCATTTTTGTTCT